TACTGTGAAAAAACAAAGCTTCAAAGAGAAACATTTTGTCTTTAAATGGCTAACGTGTAAATTTACAGGTGTTGTATTCATGCTCTAAATGTGTGACCCTGAACTGAGCATCTGTAAATAACCAGTATAGATGGTTACCTATATTATAAACACTAATTTAACCAGAGATTGGAGAATCCAAAACTCTTGTCAAATCCTTCCTCGCCACGGTTTACAGACTCAGGACCCTTCTATTGGCTGGACAAACGGGGTACCAGTTTGGGTACGTGGTACACAAACTGACTGAAAGCAGATTGATTAAGCTTGCTTCAACTGGGGCAAACAAACAAGACCCATGTTTGTTCGACGCCCATGAAAGCCAATTTATTTTTACCAAGCTACCAGTGTCTCCATGGGGCACAATGGATTGTTCAAACCAAATCACAACTCCCATGGCCCCAGAAGGAAGGACCAACCTCTTGGCTTTGTAAATATGTGAAGCAGTAAGGCTGAACGTTCCATGCCCCTCATGGTATGTTTATCAGCATGTGGGCTACATTTGGCATGAGTATACATGTATCAATTATAGATATATCAGGAATTTACCGTTTGTCAAAGCATTTACTGCCCTAACCAAAAAAAAAAAAATCTATGCCAGTTATACCACTAGTCTGTTATGAGGTGTGAAATGCATGATTTAGGTTCTATATATGAGATTTATCGTAACTCATAGGCGGCAACCAATTTTATTTGGGGGGGGCTTATGTAAAGATATAAGTGGACTGCTTGGAATTATCCGTCTTTTGCAAGCAGAGGAACACAAGCGGGATTGTTTCACCAGCTCCTTTTCCAGAGGGTTGGATTTGCTTCCATTAGACCCATATTTCACTTGGTGGCATTTCTTTGCCCGTGTGGCAAACCTGCTGCGTAAACTATGTTGTGTTAATCTGGTTTGCTTGGAATTCTTAACTGGTTTTCTCTTCTTGTTTTTACATACGTGTCTATATTATATTATAGTATTTCCGTACTCTCTACTGTTTTTTATACCTGTTTCTTTCTCTATCCCACTTTGCCCTGCTGTACCACATTGGAGAAATTCCCCATTGTGGGACTTCTTTATTATAAAGGAAAAATAAAGGCATATCTATCTATCTATCTATCTATCTATCTATCTATCTATCTGGAGGTATTTTATTTTTAAAATTGACTGTTTCTCTGTCCTGCTCCTGTGTTTGACAGTGCAATCTCCTCCGTGCTGCTTGACACAAGTATGTTGCATCTTCCATCAAAAATAGACCAGCCACATATTCTATGCGCAGCAGAGTGGACTTAGAGGCGCTCCTGGGGCATTTCTGGTACGTGTCGTGGTACTTCTGGTGGAATTTTTAGTATTGTCTAGAATGGGCGTGATCAGCTTTGGTGACCGCAGCAGAGCCGGAACATGTCACAGCTGTACCTGGTGGAATTTAGGGGTGAGAAAATTCTGACAACAACTAAGGCAAATTTCACAAGTTGCAAAACAAGTAAATAAATTACACCTCTGTCCACAGGGATCATATGAAAAACAACATTGTACAGCAATTAGAGCCAACTGAAACAACAGTGATAAACACAGTGTTTAGCAGGCTAAATAAGCTTTACAGGCCGTTAAGTAATATATGATAATACCGTAAAACTCAATCACTGAACTTCACATTTCTATATATGGAACAGTGTTTAATTCCTTTTGCATATAAATCAGCAAAGATGTGATACTATCATATTGTTTATTTAAACAAGTATGAATATAACTTATATGTATGAAAATTAGGCTATCGAACAACATATCAATTAGGAATCATTCATTTGATCGTTTCATACTTTGGTCCTCCTGGTTTCTGTAAAATGAACACAAATATTGAATTGTGGAGAATCGAACTGATAATAATACGCAGCATGTCCATATTGACAATAGTTTCAATATATATATTTGTGTAGGTGATCTAAGCAGCTTAGAACTCCCTCAAGTGGGTGACCTCTTGGGCTTTAAAAGGTTTTATACATCTAAAGCATTTTCAAAATCCAAACTAGGCCTCTAATTGAGATCTGGCTTTATTTGTCAAAACGACACCAGACGAGACCTGTGTCTAGCTGGGACCCTGCTTTTAATTGAAGTTTTACGATAATTTAATTAAAAAATAGATGTGTGTGGCTCAATATAGTCCACAAATCCTGACCTCTTGGTGAAGAAAAACAGTTTGTGTTCCAGATCAATGCAAATCTTATTGATGCCTTTGGCCCTGGGGGTGCCCCAGTTACACTGGAGAAGATGCTGCTGACAGGAGTTTTTGGTTGGTGCCTGTTTCTCTTCGCTTATTACAAATTTGCCGTAAAGATCGGGATGACCGCGCTTAAGATGGGTAATTAAATTTGTAGTGTTGAAGGACCGACATTGAACAATCATTGCAAATAGCAACTTTGCTATCTGTTTCAGAAACTTTAAAAGATCTGTACAGGACAGACATACTTGTCCCTCCTTTATGCTCACAGACAGTGACACCATCTTTGGCTTGTGCTCCCTCGTGCTGGGTCATCTTATCATATCAGAACACATTGCAGATTTTTACTTTTAAAGCCTTTATTGGCTTATACTGATGACATACCTATATCACTGTGCTTACTAATTAAGACAAAAAAAAATCTATTTGTATTGTCGCAAATCATGCTCGTAGGCCGTGCCCTTAAAATAACATTTTTAATGAACACAGAGAAGCTTTACGCTTTCAGTTGTAGGAATAAGAAGAAACACTGAATTTGAGAGGTGAGCACTTTTATCCTCATGTTTTATGGAGTTTTAACTTTTCTTCAAGGAACCAGATATTTTCTGACATTGTTGCTCATGTTTGGCACTGATGATTCAACAGTCCCTTACAGTTTTATGCAACAATTATTTAGCACTTTGGCTAATGTAAGCAATATGTGTTTTGGGGCAATAGTTTGTATATTAGGCTATTGTTTTTAGGATTGAGACTCACTGAGCTGTGTAAAGACATATTTTAGTTTTGCAGACAGCTGGACATTTCACCCTGACTGCCTTTCATTCTTAGTATGCCAGTTGAAATGTTTTATTTGTATAATAAATTATCTTTAAAGTAGTATCTCAGTTTCACTGTGTTTTAGGCCACTAGGACTTAAGTCACTTACAATAAAAATACAAAAACAAATAAATCTGTGGAATTCTTCCAAAATAAGAGCGCCCAGTGAACAGTGAAATGATTTAAAGCAGATCAGAACGTTCCTAACTGAGCCCTGAGGCTGTGATTTTAACCTTATATCACCTTACCTGTGCAAAGAAACCACACACTGTCAGTTAAGATCTAACTCTCACTGATCCCAAAGATATTTTGTGAGAAATAATAGGTGATGAGGCTGCTGGAAAATCTGATACAGCCACGTTCTCAGTACCACAGTGACCTGCTGAGATATTCCTTGAAATTTTGGAACAAATGAGACTGGCACTGCAGTTAGATAGCATAGACATAGCATAGAAATAGCATATAACATAATGGCACTGATTGCTTATGTTCAGTTTTAAAGATAAACTGAACGCTTAATTCACACTGGGTAACAGATACAGAGGTAACTGACCCTTCCTAAGTATGTCCCCTTTTTGCTACAATAAGGACAGCTGAGCAAGTCTCGTTGAGAACCTCGCTCAACTTTCTCCTTTCTTGTAATTAGATATACTATGTGCTAGCAACATACACTTTTTAGAAAATATGACTGATCATGATGAAAAACTTTGTTTTATTTAGGGATAGCGGTCAGATGAAGCCATTTCTTATCACATAATTTTGTGTGCTCTTTTCAAATCATAATGATACCTAAAATCACCTAATCAAAACTTTACATACCTGATCAAAAGTTTACATACCCTTGAATGTCTTGCCTAAAAACATACAGACACGTTGACACAAATGGCTATTGTGGGTAGGTTTCCACACCTGTGACTTGTTGACTGTAATTAGTGTCTGTGTATAAATAGCCAATGAGTTTCTTAGCTCTTGAGAGATCCCTGCACATTTCATGTAAGGCTGTACTGAATTTGCTGGATACTGAGCCATGGGGAAAGCAAAAGAACTGTTAAAGGACCTCA